ATACTTGTAGACACAGGATATATTGTACTTGGTGATTAATCATGTTGTTGATGTTCTTTCTGATATTAGTCTATTCTGGATTCCTCTCTCTTTTGCCTTACAAAAAATAACATTGTTCAAATTATTATTTCATACGTAATATACACACTATCGTAGCTATATATTTACTTATCGTTTTTTTCCTCGACTCATAAGAATAATGGGTAAGTGGTAATGAGAAAGCCTTTGCCCCACAACCAAACATATTAAGACGAGTTTAATGTTCATGAATGATGCTAGTGACGATGGTTGATACCTAACTTTTATTGAATCAATGTTATGAATAACTAAGCTTTAGTATTCTTTTTTATTGGTAAACTAAGCTTTAGCATTCTCCTGAGAAGTCTCCTACTTATTGCTAAAAAAAAAGTCTCTTACCCCCGGTTCTCATCGTCATCATTTTATAACTTTAATTGATTCTTTCTAATTCAACTTTAACTACCTTTTGTAATACGTTAACTTTAACAAAATTTTACACAATTTGTTCTTATATCTTGTCAAGATTGTCTTTATTATTATTTTTATTTGCTTGAATCTCCATCCATAAATTAAATAATTTATATACTTTTAATATAATAAAGTGATATTTAGACAAATATTTCATATTTTTCTAGCTAATCTCTTTGAAATTTCCAAGCACATCGGTCTAATAAAAAATTAAATACTTCTTTCAATAAATTATTAAAATTATAAGTAGTTTTTTTTTACTCTTTAACTTTATTTTGTTTTTAATCTAAAAAGGTGGGAAACAATATAAGTCAAGAGTGATTAGAAGTGGTGTGTAATGACACAATAGATTTTTATATTTATAACAATTTAGCTATTCATGAATGACTTTATAAAGATATTTTTTATTAACCTCTCTGAACCATGTTATTGGTACGGAGTATCCAAATTAGAGATTAGGGTTGGAAATAAGACGAGCTGAGCCGAACCTAACTCGACTCGATAACATTTGACTCAGTTCGCCACTTGATTCGAATTTATCATGAACTTTTTTTTTTCAGCTCAAACTTGACTCGATTTAAGCTCGCTAACATTTAAATTCAAGCTCGAATCATATGAACCAAGACTCAATCTTTTCTAATCTTAAGCATTTCAAAATTTCAATTTAATAATAGATTTCAAAATTTCAATTTAATAATAGATTTCAAGATAAAACATAATTTATTATGTTAGCTTTGTAAGGTTACAAGGTACAAATTTAAAGAAACATGATGACAACTAAAGTTTATATAAATTAAAACTACTTCAACTTGCGTAAAATAATAGAAAAATCAATCCATAACCATGAAATTTTAAAGTGTTTGCAATGACCTGATATGTCTTTACACTTTACAACTTAACAATCTATGTAGTGAAAAACTTAACTCTGATTACCTAGGATTCATCATGCAAATAGTCCTGGACTTACATGCAATAATATGTATAAAACTATTTAGTTGAAATCATGAATATAAATCCCTTAGTGGGACTATAATTGAAAACTATTCATATACATATATACACTAATCTAAACTGAAAACATAAGTCTAGGTTGCTAGTCAAGCAACTACTAAAACCAAGCTACATCAAAGTAGCCTAAGCAACACTGCCATTCTCTAGTATGACTCTCAAAACATGCTTATTCTCAAGCCTGTTCCTACTTTGCTCTCAAAACAAGTATGATCATTATAGTCGAACCATAAGAAAAAATAAGGGTAAACTTAAAAACAACAAAGTAACACATAATATAAATAAATGCAAAATATAACTATATCCACACTTTCAACATATAATACATCACCCCAATTAACCAATACAAGTATACAATGACCCAATGCCCAACTTAACAACTCATATCAACATATAATACATCATTCCAACTAACCAATACAAGTATACACCTTATCATCATTTTAGCCTTTCAACATAACATATAAACAACACAACAACTCACGACTTAACAACATGACAATTTAAACAACATGGACTCGTCATCTCAACATCACAACAAATAAACAACATAACAACTTATCAACAGAATAACTAGCAACACAACATCTCATGCGTCATCATGCATTTTAACTAAGAGATTTATTACAACACAAGTGAACAATCTAAATGACTTGATCCTAACAAACCAACTTAACAACTTAATCTTTTTAGGTTTGCTAGATTAACAATAAATTTGGATATCAATTTGCAATACAACGTGATTTCTCAAACTTTTCCACTTATACTAGGAAAGTCAAGTATTCCTGTTAGGGATAGAATTACTTGAGTGTGAGTCTACCACAACCTTAGTATGCATAATTAAGCCTATATGAAATTAGCTCGTTGACTACTCTCCAAATATTGCACTCGTTCTAGTACTTAGTTAGGGATCTTGCCCCCTTAACCTTGTACCTTACTCAATTGATCACTTCAAAACCAGTATGACTTAACCTTGCCCCATACTATAACAACTAAGGACCTAAAGGGGACTTTAGATTCCATTTCAAGAGACAATTATACTTAATAAGGGATTTTTCAACAATTTGGCTCTCAGAGCACTACAACATGATATCCTCTTGATGGGATATTTATCTTTTAAAACAACACATTTTCTCTAGTCCTAAGTCATTCAACACAACACAATTACATGCATCAAGCATTCACATCGCAACTTCTTTCAACACTACACATATTACTATCATACAACTCTACTGTAATTCAACTTTCATTCATAATTAACTTACACCTTAAGCAACTTAAACACCATTATATATCATCCTAGATCATCGCATAATGCATTAGGATCATACTCAACATAAATAATTTGAGTAATTTAATCTACTTAACACATGTTCAACAATTAATGATATATAATACAAATTTTTATTTAGTAACCCAACCTAATGCCAATCCATCTACATCTGACGTGGATGAGGCATAAAGCTCCTGCATCAATCACACTTGGCGTAGCTAGAGCCACGCCTGATCTTATTTAGGTAGGGAGCCACTATCTGACTCACATTAACACCACATAACCTACGCTTGGCATTATCTAGTCATAGAGTTATTTCATTGATCACACCTGACGCCACTCAACCAAGGTCCAGTGTCACCAGTCAAAGAGCTCGTAAGGTAATCATGTTTGACGCCTCTCAACCCACGCCTAACGTGACTAAGTTAGAGAGCTTATCTCTAATTCATACACGACACTACCAATCCTATGCCTGACATCAATGAGGAAAATAACCTCTGTCCTACATCACGCCTAATAGCATGAGGCTACACTCGACGCGATGATGAATTCTACAGTTGAAAATCATCCAAAACCAGCATGCAATGCACCAAATAACATTTATCTATCACTATCAGTTCATCTCCATCAACAAAACAACATGCAACCATAACAAGGGCCAAAAGATCATCAATTTTATTTAATGAGTGCAAAACACTCCAAACTCAAAACTCTCCATAATCCATCATTTAATTCAATAATACAACTTTAAAATGGAGATTTCAAGCTGAAAAGAACATTAATAATTTGACAATTGTAAATTGATAAGTTTTCCTTATCTTTGATTGCCTATAACAGAGAAAGAACAAAAAAAATGGAATCTCTCGAATTAACTTTGCACGACAACTTCAACACTCTGGGTCTTGGCTCTAAAGCTTTGAATCACCAAATAATAGCAAAATGTATGCTTAGGGGAAGGATGGGAGAAATCCATGAAGTTAGAAGGAAATATGGTTCTTCTTTGGCTTTGGAGCTCCTCTATCTAATTTCTCTCTATGTTTCTTAAGAAATGAACTTATGAAATAGAAGTTTTAAAAAAAATATATATAACTTCCTCAAAACTTTGTCAACTTTGACCTTAACTTAAAATAACTTTAATTTAACCAACTATACTCACAAAAATTCGTAAATTTTTAGAGTTTTACAACTGTAAAACAACTAATTTCATGATCAATTAAATTAACAAAATCAACAATTATCAATAAAATTTATAGTGCTACAATGTTCACTTCTTTTATTTTTACTAACCTATAATTAAGTTTTGAAAGTTCTTTCAAATTTTAATAAGTTGAATTAAATAAAAAAATTAATTATATAAATTATGTATTTATATGTCAACCTAATTCATGAACTAAATGAGTTGAACTATACACTATTCAAATTCAATTCATTTATTTATCGAGCTTAATATTTAACTTAAGTTCAACTCATTTGGATCATGAATAAGTTTAACAAGCTAATTATCGAACTGAGTTTGAAACTATTTTCAAATTAGTTCAGGTCATTGTCACCTTTACCCGAGACATTGTTTAAGAGGACAAAATTCAGTACCACTTATACCAATAACTTATTAGTTTAAAAAAAAAACAATATGATACATCTTCGATAGATTAATTATTATATAAATTTATTTTAATTATGAAAAAATTATCTTATTCTTTTCCAAAAATGATTTTAAAAAGTTTATGCAAACATTCTCAAAATCAAATTATTATAAAGGTTTAATGCATCATTTGATCTCTAGATTTATAAAAACTTTTAATTAGATCGTTAAATTAAAATAATTTGAAATGAGGTCCTTTATTTTTTATTTTTTTAATATTTTTATAATTTAGTTTCTAAAATAAAAGAAATTATGATCATGAAATTTATAAAATATTTTTGACTCATATAAATGCTAATACAAAATAAAAATTTAATATAATTATCCACATATACAAATATTAAAAACATTTTGCGAAATCTTATGAAGAGTCTAATTACGATAGATGAACAAAAAACTGTATATATATAAAAAAGTCTAATTATTATTTTTCTTTTTAGAAATTTAGTGAAATTTTTTAAAATTTAAACGACGAAATGATGTATTAAACCTTTTATGAATCAATGACTGGTGCTTACAATTTTTATTTTGAAAATAAAATAAGGTTTAGGAAAAAAAAAGAAAAAAAGGAAAGATAAGAGAAAAATGTTTGTGCAGAGCAATGAGATGAGAGCATGCAATCCAAACAGCAAAGAAAACGTGGTTAGTCGTTACTCTGTTGCCACGGAGGCATATCATATCATATCTTCTTATTATCCGTCGCGCATTCTCATCCACCAATGGCGTTCACCGTCGCCATTGGCACTGGCGTAGCCATAATCCCCTGCGGCAACTCCACCCACCGAACTCCCTACACCCCAACCGCTAGAACCCTCCACGTGGCGCGCGCCAAGAAGCTCTCTTCCGACTCCCAACCTGTGACCGCCGCAGCCGAACCGCAACCGTCGCCTGAGATCGAAGCTTCCGTCGCCGACTCCGATTTCAGCTTCAATTACGCAGAGCTTCCAGGGCAAGAACCCGATTTCTGGGAAGGACCGCAGTGGGACTGGTTCGGCACCTTCGTCAAATATTCATGGATTATTGGCTTCCCTGTCGCGGTATAACAAAGCCTCTTCTCTTTCTTATTCTTCTTGTCGTGGTTTAGTTCATAATTATGAATTTTAGTTAGTTGTACATGTTTTTATGAGAAACAATTATACTCAACTCGTGTAGTGGAAGACAAGTTTTATCTCTAATCTCTAGTTATTTAACACAATTGCATGTCTAATTAAGCTTACTTGAGTTGAACTCGAGATTATTGATTAAACTAGTCTAAGCTGATATCGAAACTATCGATTAAGTTAGAACAATTTACTATCGATTAAGTTAGAACAATTTTGTGTAGCTGATTATAGTTGTTGATACTTTTGATTATGAAGTAGTGGAAAATTGATTATAATTTTAATTTTAAATTTTAAGAGAATGGTGTTTATTTTGCATTTAGTTTTGTTGTATCAGTCTTGACTCTTTAGCGTGTTTAATGTGGATTTTGCTGCATTTTGTTATTAATGATATGATTAGATAAATTTTTCTATATATACTTATTCGAGAATAAAATAAGAAAATAGAATGAAATAAAAAAAATTATAAACTAAAATTAACTTATATATACAAGTTAATTTTAGTTTTTGTGGGAATTTATTTTATTTTTTCTTATTTCTTTTTCTCATAAGTATTTATAGAAAAATTTATCCAAATAAACATCATATATAGAACAGTTTGTTAGTTTAAGGGATTTGTTTAAGTGATGCAAATTTATTTATTTATTTTTTAATTCAAAGAATCTAAGATTAATCTCTTAAAATATTGAGATTCATACGAGGGTATGAGTGAATTCATATAAATCCAGATAAATTTCTTTTAAATAGACTTCTTTGAACATAGAATTAGGTTCTTAATTTACTTACAAAATTTTGAATCCTTATTTATTTATTTATCTTTTTTTGAAAAATAAAGTGATAATGGGAAGGGTGTTTGTTCTTAGGAAATGTGAAGAAGAATGTCTTGTTCAAAAAATATTGTTTTGCAATCTGCACATGTTAGTCTAATAAAAGTTTCAAAATGTAGTATAAAACATCATAATCATAATTATATCTAGGTAACTTTTTTTTTTCTCAAGAAAATTTTTGTAATGTCAAAAAGAACAACTCTACTAAATCATTGAATGTCTTCATGATTGTAGGCAAGTCTTGCTCTCTATGGTTGCTTTACATTTCATGAACCACCAGAACGTGTGAAGCTGGCTGCTGCGAAGAAGTATTCTGTTCAGAATTATTCTGTTCAATCCGCTGAATCAGTTGACTCTGTTGAGTCTGAATCTGTTGACCCTAGTGAAGTTTTCGAAGAACCTGATGCATATGACTCAGATGTATTTGATTCCAATCCAACAGAGGTGGCTCCTAGTTTGAAATAGAGTCTATATAGATACTGCAAATATACCTTAATTTTAGCATATAAATTCAGGCGAAAGAATTTAAACTCTTTTTGCGGTAAATTTGTAATGCAATGATGTTGCTTACATGTACACTTTGTGTATCAATTCTTAGATGGATCAAGTGAATTAGTTGTACGTGTAAATGTATTGTTATTCACTGCATTACATCTGATTGCTTAAATCACTGTTGACAATCTTTTATATATCTTACAGATAAAAACTTTTTAAATGAAATCTTTTACATATATACATAGTTCAGGGTGATGTTTGAGTTCAAATTAGTACTAGGTTGTATGAATTAGTATTATTATGTTACCATATGTTTCATTTGATATAGGTATAATATTGTGCTACAATTCATGAAGCATAACAGGAATTGATGGCCTATCACATGTTGTTTGTATAGTGTGATAGTATAATTTAATGGAAGTTGATTGTTATTTGACAGAAAAGTTTTAGGATGTTTAAATAATAACACTTTCTATTTAAAGGAGAAACAAAGTATCTCTTTATTACACGAATAAATAATCCACTTCAGATTCTAAAGAAATGATATTACAAAGCTTGATGATATTTTTTCTCAATGCTAATCTCATTACTAACTCTATATTTATATGGACTAAATATATTATTTTAACTGAAATTAACACAATACTAATGTGAACAATAAAATTACTACAATTGGAAAAACTTCTAATTCATTTGCTGTCTTCAAGTTAGTAGCTTCGCTGCTTGTAAATCCAAATCCCATCATGCTTTGTCTAGGTGGCATTGAAAATGCCGGTGAAGCTACAAATTTAGAAATGGAAAATCATAAATATATATATATATATATATATATATATATATATATTTACATGACACGGACAAATGAAATTATTATTAAAAATCAATATAATCTTTTGCGATTAAAAAAAATATGATTCAACTTTTATTATATGATTCAACTTTTATCATATCAAAATTCCCATACTATTACAGAAGTTAAAGGAATAGATGAAAATGAAAAAAGGAGGTGCTTGTTTACCAATAACAGTTGAGTTATTTTTTCTGCCCAAAGAAACCTGAGAATGAGGAGAAGTTGTAGGCATATGCATTTTTTCTCCTATGACAAAAGTGAAGGGAAAACAGATTCAACAGATAATACTAGAAAACTCCTCATGAAAGGTATTTATGCACACAGAATAAGACTAAGAATGTCATACACTTTTTGAATGTAAAATAAGTCGATTATAAACAAACTGCTAGATATATTTTCAATAAGATTAAATGTGACAGTTTGTGTAACCTAAACAGGCCGAGATATTGGCATTAACTTGAAGATTGCAAAGAGGTGGTAGCTGTAGAGCAAGTGTCTTATTGATGGGGAAAGAACTCAAGTTAGTGTCATTGAGCAAGAGGCAAAGACAGTGTGGCTCTTGGCTGTAAAGTTGCTTGAGATTGCCACAGCATTCTGGCCCTGGAGACCGGGCAGTACCCTGCACAAATGGTGCACAAGGAATAAGGGGAAGGAGGCTTGATGTGCATTGGGCTATGGTGGTGGGGCTTGAGGGGTTTTGGTCTTGTGAATGTATTATGGGTAGGTTGGAAACCAAAAACAAGAGAATAATTTGACACAAAATAGGGATAGAATTGCAGTAATTCAGAGAAGCCATTATGTTGCGTGTAATTGTGTTGATTGAGAAATATTTACCAAGGTGTCTAAATAGAAATATGTGATCACCTTTCTATGAGTTATTTACATGCATGGTGTGAGTTTTATCTAACATGCATTTCTTGTTTATTTCTGTGCAAACAAACTCATTTAAAAGGATAAATGTTAGGTAAACATACAATAGTTCGATTTTCATGTATCTTTAGACAGTTAACTAATTAAGAATCACTCTAAGTATGATATTTAAAGTATTTATTAAAAAGTAAGGACATAGTTGTCAAATCTGGAACAGGATAGGGTCTCTGTTGAACAGCTGATCTGGATGGAAAACTACTGAAATAAAAAATAATATTAAAAAGGACAAAATAGCACATGTTGACCAAACATGAATAATAAAAGTTAAGTTATAGGTAGTGTTTGGATAAACTTCTTCATAATATTTTTAGAAAAGAAAATTAAGAAGAAAAATTGAAATAAATTTCTATATTTAAAAAAATTTATTTTATTTTATTTTTCTATTTTTCTCTTCTAAAAATATTTTTAGAGAAGTTTATCCAAAAATTTCTGATTTATGTCTCTTCAGTTCAAAATTTGAAATGCTTGGTAACCAAGAAAATATATTTCAGGTATCTGAAATGATGATAATTTCATATAGCAGAGGCACACGATTTTGCTATATAATAAATATTTGCATGCAGAGAACTTCGTTATAGCAGAAGTAAGGTCTTTATGCATAATTCTTTTTTTCAAAAGAGAGTATGCTCTGCCTTTGTTTATGTAGTGGCATGCACAAAACGGGAACAAAGAAGTCAAGAATAATGTGACAAAGTAACGCTACATTTGCCTCCCTTAGCAGACATAGTCACAAAAAGAATCAGATTCAGCAATTAAAAGGAGCATCATTGTCATCAAACGGAAATGCTAACCAGCTCATTATAAACCCTTTTTGGCTCTCAAAGTTTTGTTGTTGCATGCCTTCTAAGATTCACTTTTCCTTTGCTAGCTCATTCATACTATTTTGGACTTACAAATTCCTGTAACTATCTCTTTCTCTCTGATTGGTTTCATGACAGTGAAGGCAAGCACTATTCACCATGATCTTTTGGTAACTATCTAACTAGCTCTGACTCTATAAATACCATTTGAATCATTTTAATCTGTTGGCTTTGGTTGGCAGTACTTCTGCATGGTGATGAGGATCAATATTGACTGCACTGGTTGTTACAGAAAAGTGAAGAGAGCCCTTCTTGATATGCCAGGTTAGCCATCGTATTTATCATTGTTTGGACCAGTTTGGATAAATCTCTCCATAAATACTTTTAAAATATGAATAAAAAATAAAATAAAGTTCTTCATCAGTTAAGTTAAAACTAATTTATACAAAAATTTAATATAAGTTTTTAAAGAATCTAATATAAAAGAACTTCTAAAACTTAGTATGAGTTTTTTTTGGATAAATTTTTTCAAAAGTGAATAACAACATGAAAAATACTTTTGTTAAAGGAATAAATGATTTTCGGAACTAAATTTAGTTTATGATGGAGAAACTAATTTTATTTTATTTTTTTTAGAAGGATTTTCGGAATTTATGCAAATAGACCTTATATGTATAAACTAATTTTAATTTATGGAAAAATTTTATTTTCTTTCTATTTTTTTTATTCCTATAAGAGTTTAGATAAATTTATCCACACGTATAATTTTTATGCAAGCTTCTTATGGTTCTGAAATTGAGAATTAAATTGTACTTTCTTTATGTCTTTGACTATATATGATAGAGTTGGATAGCCATCTCTTAGAGAAGAAGCAGACCAGGGTAGTTGTGTGTGGCAGGTTCATTCCACAGGACGTTGCAATCAAGATAAAGAAAAAAACTAATCGTAGAGTTGAGATTCTGGACATACAAGACATGAGTGAGAACAATGCTGAAATGGAAAACCAGAAACCAATGACCAATAGTTGGACCCTTCTAGCCACCCAGAATCAAATGGAAACATGTCATGCTTGAGAGAAACAAACAATATTGTCTAATATTTAATCCACATCCACGAGTGAGTATGTGACTTGTACCATTTTAGCTTTTTTAAAATAAACTAACCAATGATTGTAATAATTCTAGAGATTACTAACTTGTAATTGCATCTATTTCTGTATTTGATAGTAATTTCTTAATTGACTGTAACATATATAATTTTTGTCAACTTTGATCATTTTCGTCTGTTTGTTTATATTGCCTTGGAATAAATTATCTAGTAGCTTTTTTGAATTAGGCTATGGTTTTAAGAGAGAGGAACTGCTAATGTACGTACAAAAGTTCAGCCTGTGAAGGGAAGTAAGAAAGTATTATTTTACCATCGATCCTAATCTTTTTTTCTGACATATGAAACATGTTGGGTTAATTAATCAGATTAATTAGATCATTTATATACTGAGTTATATCTTTAAAAAGATTATATTCATTATTAATTTGAGACAATATGAAATTTGATTTGCATTCATATATTAATATGGGTTATGAAGACCTGTAGATAGACGAAACAAATTTTTTCTCCTAATCCATATGTCGTGGAAAAATGCTAGTAATGAACAGAGACTAATTAAGAACAGCTAGGTGACCAGTGAATTTGACAATTAACGAATTAAAGAGATCAATGTTTTTTCAAGTTATTAACCTTCATCTCTCGACTCAAAAAACAATAAAATTGGCCTTAATCTAAAATGGTGATGAAACAGGAGAAAGGAACGAGCACGTAGAAACTTTACTAATCCACGGGTTGTTTCCAGTGACTTGTTTCCAAAAATAAAAATTAACAATTATTATTATATGTATAAAATAAAATATAAATGTAATGAATTTAGTATATAAAATTAGAAAGTTTAAAATATAATATTTTTAAATATATTAATAATTTAATTAATTAAATGTGAATAATTAAAGCGTGGAGGTGTATTTGTGACTTTCACTATCATGTGAGTTTGTCGGTAGATGTTTCAGTAGTCTCGAGCTTAAATTGGGAGCATATAAATGTGTTAACTACTAGTAAGAAAGAATTTTGTGACGCCACAGTTAAGAAGAGATTTGTAGGAGTGACTACTACAGTGGAGAATATCTTTAGTATAAATAAAAAAATTAAAGAAATAGAAGGGTAAGGTTTGACGTGGAAAAATTGCCCTACACCGCTAATTAATGAACTTTCAAGTCTCAAAGTTGACCAAGTCCTTGTGCCCAAAAGGATCGGTTATCTCCTTCATTAATTTGTATATTGATAAAATTGTAGATGTAATTAATAATTGATATAAGCATGAAGAAATTTTTTAAATAATAGCTGTTAGGACACTCTGAGCTTTAAAGAAAGATTTTAGAAAGGTTGAAAACGAAAGCAAGCTGCTGAATGCATTTATAAGTCCAACACATACAAGTGAATCACCCCCACTCTATATATTCTTAGAGCTAGCATTGGTGCTTTCTATTTCAGCCTTATACAAAACATCCAAGTTCATACATATAAGCATGCATTTTTATTCGTTTACATGTTTAGGTATACTATAACGCAACCATACATGTATATCGTTTACATTTACACGACACAAAACATTGTACGTACGTACATTATTACAAATGCAACATAGTTATTCAAAGACAACATACACATACTACATATGCATGCATGCACGATGCACGATGCATCTACTTGTCACTGTGTCCTCCGGGAAGCTTCTCTTTGATCTTATCCACTATCCCTTTCTTCTCGTGATCGCCATGAGACTCGTCATGGTGACGATGCTCCTTTCCATAGTGTTGCTGATTCCGTGCATCCGTATGTGCACCCCCAGTGTTGCCTCCATAACCGGTGCCACCGGTGGTTCCACTTCTAGGACCAGTGCCGGTGTCCGCGGTAGTGACTCCATAGGTAGGGCCACCACCGTAGTCACCGGTAGTTCCATGCTGCCTACCGGTGTCCCCACCATAGGCATCGGTAGTCTGATGTTGTCTACCGGTGCCTAGATCATAATCACCTGTAGTTCCATGTTTTGTATTAGTATTACCTGTGTAACCACCGGTAGATAATCCATGATGTTGTTTACCGGTGCCTAAATTATAGTCACCGGTAGTTTCATGTTGTCTACCGATATCACTGGTGTAACTACCGGTGGTATCATGTTGTCTACCGGTGCTTATATCATGATCACCGGTAGTGTGATGACTCCTACCGCTGCTAGGATCATAGACACCGGTAGTTCCATGCTGCTTATCGGCTTTACCGCCCTG